AAATCAGGCAAGTTTGTGTATGAAAGCGTGATTTTTTTCTTCATTTTTTCATATAAAATTCCGTGTTGATCAAAAAACTTTTATTAGTGAGTGACACTTGACCCCCTGTAGATCCGCAATGTCCTGCGACTGATATGTGCAACATTGAGTTGTCCCCCCATACCCCTAGATAATACCCATTACTTTGACATATCTTGACAAGTGTCAACCATTGAATACATGGAAAAAAAATATGTTCATATCAAAAAATTTAATTTTTCAATTTCTGATTTAACATTAGTATTAGGAAATAATTAATAGTATGATCTTACATCAACCAGGATTTCAAGGCCCTACAAGTAAAGTTGAAATTTTCCTAATTTAACCTTCGAAGAGTTCTTAACAAAGTTTTCAGAGCACACTCTGATACATCCATTGCAATTGTCTTTGCTTTATAAACCCTTCTAGTTTTATGAACATCTTAAGGAAAGTGCCAACAAAACCAACGCTTTTAACTTGTCGTAGAACAACCAATACTTGAGCTAGCTTCTTGTTCGAGTAGTCGTTTGGAATTCCTAGTTTGGCTTTCAATTTTTTGTTTAATGCGAAAAGGTCGTTTGCATAGTGAAAAATGGCAAAAAAATATTTTGAAAATCAACAATTTTTATAACGTTACACATATCAAAATTTATCAGAAAATTCGAATTTTTTCTAATGTCAATAATAATAATAATTTTATTAAATGACTTTTCGCCCTGTTAATGTTGTTGGGTTTTGACCCAAATAAGCAAACTTGAGTAACAGTGAATGTTCAATATAGTTTTACAAATCATTTAAATAATCAACAACACATTACATGCCAAGAAAAGCCAATTATACCCATACAAATTGATATAATCGACGTAATATCTCCAAAAACTTCCATTCCACAAGCAACCAAAATGACAGAACATGGAAAAGTCATAGCTGCTTATTTTGCTGCTTGGTCAATATATGCACGAAAATTTTTTGTACAAGACATAGACTATGATAAACTTACTCATATACTGTATGCATTTGCAAATATTAAAAACGATGGTGAAGTATTTTTGGGTGATCCATGGTCTGACACTGATATTCATTTTGATGGTGATTCATGGAATGACAATGTAAAGAATTTGTATGGAAATTTCAAACAATTGTACTTGTTGAAGAAGAAGAATAGACATCTTAAAGTTAGTTTGTCAATTGGTGGCTTGTCTTAGTCCACTAATTTCTCGGCTGCTACTTCTTCTAATAAATCTAGAGAAAATTTGGTTGATTCTGTGGTCAAATTAATGAATGATTTGGGTTTAGATGGATTAGATAGTAATTACCTTTTTTTTTCCTATTATTATATTTTTTAATGCCTTATTGTTCTACTTACAATATTGCTATTATTTATCATCATCATCATTATTACAGTTGATTGGGAATATCCAAAGAATGAGGAAGATGCCAATAACTATGTAAATTTACTCAAAAGATCTTAGAGAAGCATTAGACCAATACACTAAATCAAAACATGAAACTCAACATTATCTCTTAACAACTGCTGTACCATGTGGAGAAGACAATTACAAAGTAATGAAGTTGAGAGAAATGGACAAATACTTGGACATCTTTTATCTTATGGCAAAGCTTGGCTAACCAAAATTTTGTAATAACATTTATCCTCACAGACAGTTGCAGACAGTCGCAGAAAAGTGTTGCAATTCAAGC